CAGGTCGAACTGAATATTAGCCTAGCAAGTAGCAGATTGAAACGTCGTTTCCAACAGCTTCCAGAGCTTCGCAATGGAGATTTCCTTTGCTTGCAGCCATACATCCCTTCGTTTCTGAGGAACATTGTCAGCGTTGTGAAGTCGTTCAGTGGAGGCGGCAACGTTCGTGTTCTCAGTCCACGTCTTGCGCCACTTCTTCCGGATAAGGGTGCTTCTCATGGAATCCTGTCACCAGCGCTCTTCCCTTTCTATAAGGACGAATCGGAGGAGCAGATATTGCCAGTTCCAAAAGTGAGAGCTATGCCTTATGCTCAAGAGTTTCAGACTATCATCAAGACTTTTTTTGGTTAATCAATCAATTTCGTCGCAGATGCTAGAAGACAGTGGTCTCAATGAAAAAGATCGTGAACGCATTCTGGAAATGGTAATGGAGATCTCCGGAGCACGTGGTACGGTGGAAAACGCTATGAAGGTGATTACTTATTCACAAAATGTTTTCCGAGAGTATTTTTTCTAAATGACAATGTTTGTTTCAGGTCTTGAATCACCTCAACTCATTTGGGCTTAGGGGACGAATTGTTGAGCGTAACTGAAAAGGTAGCTACAAAATTCACAACTGCTTTTATTTCTATATTTCACGAAAACAGTCCTGCAGCCAAAATTTCTGTTACCATAAGCTTCACCTCAAAAAACTATCTATCCCAAATCTTAATAGTAATGCAGCTCTATCTGTGCAGGTTGGCGAGAGTTTCGAGTGCTTGCGTGCCTCATTCAGTCATGACCAGGTCGTGGATCTGGAACAAAGAGGTTTCACCTTTATGGAGGTTGATCAAATGAGGAAACTTCATCGCGATCAAGGTGACGCAATACATTTTTAGAAACAGCTTCGCTGTTATGAATATTTGCTAATTGAAATTTAGGATTGAAGGAACCTGAACTGGAAGAGCAGATCGAGCTATACAGTCGTACGCCGAAACTCAAAAGGGAACAGGCACTCTGGAAGACCGTAGCTGATCTAGCCGGAACAAGCCATGTTAGTGTGCAGATATATGTATGTACAGTAGCCGAAACGATTTTTGGTGCATTATTTTCTTCTCGTTGAGCAACGTCCTCCAAAGATTGATATACTATGTTTTCTAGTGTTTTTATATCCTCAAGTCCTTAAAGAATCAGGATGTTCAAAAGGAAAAATTTCGAGGCCACCACTGGTTTTTTGGCAAAAAAAAGCACTAAAACCGTTTCGGCGAAGAATTTTGACCGCTACTGTATTCAGTGGCTCTAGTGCTCACTAGGAAAGGGTCCAACTTCGAATGAAG